ATTTAAAATAATAATAATTTAAAAATTAATTTAAACAATATAATAATGTTGGGTAGTCTTTAATTCTATAGACACAGCCAGTTTTACTCACTGAAAGATTTATTCGTCATAAAATTATTACTTCATAATTGTATTCGAGTCTTACACACATGCTATACAGATAATGTAGAGTCGTGCATTAATTTGGGTGCTGACAGCTATTATGGGAGTGGCTTGATGCTCCATCATGCGCACTGCAGGAGATGCAGATAACATGATCTTGACCCTTAAGAAACTTTAATTAATGCTGTCACGTAACAAATCTGGTCAAATATAAAATTAAATGAATTGCTATTTGCTACATTGAAATTAAAACGTAAAGCCTGTACAAATATTAGAAATCGTGAATATAAATAATTGGGAATCATGTAAAAAATTAAAATAAAATAAAAACAGTGCACATTTCATTTATCTATTATAACGTTTATGTAGTTTTGTTCGCTTGGCTGTCTCCTTATAAAAGTCCAACATTTTGTCAAGTTTTTCGTCAGGTGTCTTTTTTAATTATATGACGTCATTACGTTGCTGTCTTGCCGCCAGCCAATCGCTGCATTGCTGATCGTGGTTTCGAGTATCGATACATAGCCCCTTTTAAACCAACCCATGAACGCGCAATTATCTCAGATAACTCAATCCAGCCATACCAATCATCAACAACACGTGTGTTTGAAGAACCGAATTAGCCAGATCCTGATTAGCGCGATGATATCATCTTGGATGTGACATTTAATCTCGGATGTAATAAGCGACGTACGAAGAACGGGCCCCTGGTCTCTCACTACAATAACAACCTCGAAATCTTCTCAATAACTTCGCTCCACTCAAAACCAGGACTGTTTTATTTACTGTTTCTGCACCTTGGTTCACTCCCTTTTTTAGACAATTAAAAATAAAAGGAAGACAACTCGAAAGACTTTACAGGAAAACTGGCCTCACTGTGCACAAGGACATGTATTCAAATAATATTCTTCACTATAAAGACTGTATTTCCAAAGCTAAATCCACATACTACTCTGGTTTAATTACCTCAAATGAAGGAAATTCAAAGGCCCTTTTCTCCCTCCTTAAAAATTTCACAACACCCCCGGATTCACTTCATCTGTACTCCTCTGATTTCTGTAATAATTTTACTCTTCAAAAATCGCACCAACACATTCACCATCAACTTATGTCCACTTCTGTTTTGAATTCACCTGTCCCAGTTTTATTTGCCCCCTCTCATTCACTCTCAGCATTTACCTCAGTAAATGAAATTTCCAAACTCATTCAAAAATCCAAATCTTCAACCTGTAGATTGGACCCCCTTCCAACTATTCTTGTAAAGGCTACCCTCTCCTCTCTGCTCCCTTTCATCACAGATAGCATTCACTTTTCCCTTACCACTGGAATTGTTCCTTGTTCTTTCAAAACAACTGCTGTAACTCCAATTCTCAAGAAACCTGGTTCAGATCCCAGCAACCTTAATAATTTTCGTCCTATTTCAAATCTTCCATTCATCTCCAAAATTCTTGAAAAAAATTGTTGCTGCTCAACTCCATACCCATCTTTCCTGTAGCCTAATCATTTATATGAACAATTCCAGTCTGGTTTCCGTCCCCTCCACAGCACAGAAGCAGCACTCCTTAAAATCACTAATGACCTCCTTTCTAGCGGCTGATTCTAGTTTACTATCCATTTTTCTTTTGCTGGATTTGAGTGCGGCCTTTGACACAATTTCACATACTGTTCTTCTGGACAGACTTTCTTCTATTGGTATCACTAACACATCCCTCAAATGGTTCCATTCTTACCTCTCTGGCCACACTCAGTTCATTCAATTAAAATCATTTACCTCTCATCCAGTCCCTGTCACCACAGGTGTGCCCCAGGGCTCTGTCCTGGGGCCCCTGCTGTTTATCATCTACCTTCTTTCTCTCGGTTATATCTTTCACAAACATCAGGTTCATTTCCATTGCTACGCAGATGACACCCAGCTCTACCTTTCTACCAAACTCAACTCCAAACTCCCACCATCCTCCCTCACCAATAGCCTCCTTGACATAAAATCCTGGTTCACTTTAAACTTCCTCAAATTAAACAGCAATAAAACAGAACTTCTTCTTATAGGCACAAGATCTACATTAAACAAATTTCAGAATTTCTCTATTCCCATTGATAATTCCTTTATCTCCCCCTCCCTTCAGGTTAAGAGTCTGGGTGTCATCTACGATAGCACCCTCTCTTTCACCTCCCATGTTAATAATGTTACCCGGTCTGCATACTTTCGCATTCGAAACATCAACCGTGTACGTCCTTCCCTCACGCCTCACTCCACTGCCATTCTCGTTCATAGTCTAGTCACCTCTCGTTTAGACTATGTAATTCCCTTTTGTTTGACCTCCCGCATAAAACCCTCCATAAGTTACAACTGGTTCACACGCTTCACTCCACTGCCATTCTCGTTCATAGTCTAGTCATCTCTCGTCTAGACTATTGTAATTCCCTTTTGTTTGGCCTCCCGCATAAAACCCTCCATAAGTTACAACTGGTTTAAAATTCAGCTGCCCGTATTATCACTTGCACCTCCTCTATCCATCACACCCACTTTACAACAGCTTCATTGGCTCCCCATTACTTACCGTATTAACTACAAAATACTTCTCACCTTTAAAGTCATTCATAATCTTGCACCTCCATATCTTCTTGACCTTCTCCATATTGCCACTCCCGCTTTATTTACCTTTATTTAACCAGGAAATTAAAAACTCTTGAGATTTAAAATCTCATTTACAAGAGGGTCCTGGCCAAGATAGGCAGCACATTTAGTTACACATAAAACAAAATACATTCGTTTACATACACAGAAACATACACAAATCACTCAAAACATTTACAATCAGGTGACTCTACAATTAGATCCTTTAAAATACATTTAAAATCATTTAGTGATACCAACTCTTTTAAGCATAACTTATCTTGTAGTCGATTCCAATCAAATGGAGCAGCATAACTAAATTGCCACTCCCGCTCGCACTCTCAGATCCTCTTCTTCCATTCATCTCACTGTTCCCACTGTCCGCCTTGTTACTATGGGGAGCAGAGCTTTCAGCCGCTCTGCTCCCTAGCTTTGGAATTCACTCCCTTCTGATCTTCGTAACATTGACTCTCTCCCACATTTTAAATCCAAACTCAAAACCCATCTGTTCAGCATATCTTACTCCCTTTGATCACAACTGCATTGTGTTTTTAATTGTAATGTATCTTATTTTCTTTATTGTTTTTGTCTTGTTAATGATGTACGGTGACCTTGAGTGTCAAGAAAGGCACCTATAAATAAAATGCATTATTATTATTATTATTATTATTATATTTTTAAACTAATTGAAATGTCTTGTAATGCTGTTTGATGTGCTGTCAACCAATGCAATGAAGAATGAAATACTAGTAGATTAACTGATTCATATTTATGATGACTGTATTTGCTCCGTAACTGTACAGAAATGTGATTTACTTAATATGTGGCCCCTTTAAGAAGGAGAGTTTAAGTATTTCAGTACTAATACAGTGATGAAACCCATTATGTATCCAGGTTTATTATTAATTAGAGTGTAATATGTTGGCAGAGAGTGTTGCACCCAATTGACACCAATAAAACACGCTTAATGTGCCCATTTACAGAAGATATCAGGCATCACCATAATGAATGATGTGAAAACAGTGAACTTTAAGAGACCCCATTAAACTTGATGGCCCTGTTATTTTGTAACATATTACAAATAATTCTTAAATAGGGTAAATTCAGGTAAAGTGGGCTGTTTAAGTTTAATTGTACTGTGCTCAAAGAGTTTACCCTTTCAGAGCATAACAATGGTTTTTAATTAAAGGGACACTATTTCTTCAAATGATAAAATAGTTTTGGTTGATGTAATATGACACTGGTGGGTGTGGCCACACCTCAAAGGAGGACTGTGTCATGGTGAAAGGTAGAAAACCCTTTGATATAAGATTTTTATTTGTAACTTATAAGGTTGCTCACTGAATGTAAACAAACATTATTGTGACCGTTCCTGTTTTATTCAATACTACCATCAACAGGGTATAAAATGCAAAGAATACATAAAACAAAATGTGTTAGTTTTCTTGTAAGGTGTTTAAATATTGCTGGCCCACTTTGGCTGACTCTGTTAGATGAAGTGGGCCAGTGGGATTCAGGTAAAGTGGGCCAACCTTTAACCTCCACAAATTATACTTAAATTAATTCAATAATTATTTTTATAGTTGACGTTTATAATTTACCTTTTTGGAAATTTAGACAGTCAGGAATTCAAGTCAGAGATGGACGAAAGGAAAGAGAATAGAAATGAAGACAATGCATGTAGTTCAATCTGTGGAGTGAAGAAAGGATGAGAGCAGAAAAATATATAAATGTAGAATATAAAGCTTTAAAATAGGGACACAATTAAATTGTTTAAAGTGTTTAGAGCATAGATATTTTTTACATATGGTTACCATTTTACATTTTCTTATTGTTTTTTTTTTAGCTTATTTATTGTTGCTTGTGTTATATAGTCATATCTTTAATGCATTGTAGAGTTCACTTTTTATCAATATTCTGATTTCTGAATATTCTGATTTTCAGATTTCATCCAGTTTAATGTCAACACAACATGTTCTTTTAGTTGTTTGGAATTTCACACATGAATTGAGATGTAGATTTACACATGATTTATTTTACTCATCACCTGTAGGTATGTTTTGGGTTTGTTAAATATGTTTGTCTGATCATATCCGTTAATAAATCATGTGCTTTTAATTAAGATGCGGTATATTTTTTGATAAATAAGGAATGGCACACTTTACCTGAAAAGAAATTTGTCTGGAGTACATTAACTCAAAATGTTTATTGGTATATATCTGGCACAGTGTGACACCAGCAGACGCGGTACGGTAGATGTTTACGACAGTGAGAGCGCGTTTACGGCGGAGTGTAGTATTTGTACAGATGCGGGAAGAAAACAACTGGTAAGACATCTCTTCTTTAAAATAAGAATATGTGATATAACTAATAAGTGTTCGGATGTTAAAATTCAGTTTTCTGTATGCAATGTCTTTGTACAGACCCGTGTACATTTTCTTTTTTTTAATAAAATCTGCTGCAAAATGAAACTTGCAGATAGTGAATGAATGTATGTTTTATTTGTAACAGCAAATATGCTTACTTCTTTTAAATATCCTAGAATATATATTTGGTGTTTCAGAGGAATCTGTATTCTGACTCATAATATTAATTTAAATGATCAAATTGATTGTTTGGTGCTCTAGTGTTTAATGGGTACAAACGGGTATCTGATGTATTTTGTGTGCTTGACCGTTTTTGCTTGTTTTAGTTTTTGTCTTCATGTGTGATTGGGTTTTCAACCAATATATGAATACAATTATATACAGTTGAAGTCAAAAGTTTACATACACCTTGCAGAATCTGCAAAATGTTAATTATTTTACCAAAATAAGAGGGATTGTACAAAATGCATGTTATTGTTTATTTAGTACTGATCTGAATAAGATGTTTCACATATAAGATGTTTACATATAGCCCACAAGAGAAAACAATAGTTAAATTTATAAAAATGACCCCATTCAAATTGATTCTGAATACTGTGTTGTTACCTGAATGATCCACAGCTGTGTTTTTTGTTTAGTGATGGTTGTTCATGAGTCCCTTGTTTGTCCTGAACAGTTAAACTGTCTGCTGTTCTTCAGAAAAATCCTTCAGGTCCCACAAATTCTTTGGTTTTCCAGCATTTTTGTGTATTTGGACCCTTTTCAACAGTGACTGTATGATTTAGAGATCCATATTTTCACACTGAGGACAACTGAGGGACTCATATGCAACTATTACAGAAGCTTCAAACACTCACTGA